TGTTGTTGTTGGTGGTGGTGGTGGTGGCCGTTTTGTTGTTGTTGTTATTGTTGATTTGTTTGTTTTTGTTGTTGTCGTTGTTTTTCAACAGATGCTATCTTATTTACGTGTAAAAGAATAGTTCCATATCACTCTTCAGAAATAACTTTCGTGTTAGGATTCTTTCCAGTAAAGATGTGTTGATCTAAACTTATTTCCTTCCATCCACGAGTGTCAATCTAAATATGAATTTATTTAGAGGAAAATAACTGGTCACAACAGAGGATGTATGAATTCTATCAATTCCGATCTTCGACGGTTGGACGTAATATTCACTGAAGCATACAGTTAAGGGAAGAATGAGTAAGCCTGTAGATCTAGATGGCAAATTCTGAGATCAAATTATTCATCTGAAGACGGAGCAAAACTTTCTGCCCTGAGGGCAAATCTGAGACGGTTGTATATATATAAATTGTAGATTAATAAATGTTCCACGAAATTCAAGATGACTTAACTAGATCTGGGTATTTTCTATGGAATTGCGTGACGCAACAGATCAAGCCAAGGTCCTGGGGCGAAGACTCTGGAACGGTTCAATTTGGAGAGTATCGATTCGAGACGTTCTCCTTCTCCCAAAGAAAGGTCGTGACCTCTTTCTCCTTTGCGATTCTCCTAAGCAAAACGGTGCGCACGGAAATTTTTCACTTATCCCGCATCAGCTTTTGGGACACTTCCCTTGAACAGTGATTTGTGACCCAATTAAGATTTACGACTCCTTATCCAAAGAGGAACCAGGGGGGAAATTAAGCTTACATAACAACGTAAGCACTCCCACTTACTGAAGAAGCACAAGGAGGAAGTATTTCGTAGATACACTTCAGAATAAAGAATACAGCTCACTCCAGTGAACACTCACATCCCTCTAAAAACAGAAAACAACAACACGCTTACTCGGAAATGGTATGGGTCTTAACAAGAGAAACTCCAGGAAGATAGAATCAGATGCTACGAGTCACACACACACACGCGCGCGCACACAAACGCACGCACATTCTGCAAAGAAATATCATCATCATACGGTACTGTACATAGGCCTAAGGTGGACGAATGAACACAACATGACTGTGGTTAGTTGGACTGGACTGGCAAACTCAATTTGCTCACGACTGTGCGTGTGCCAGAAACATGCGCAAGCGGTACCAGAGAGTCTGTCGAATGCAGCAGGGCAGCGATCATTCTGGGCTGTGTTTGCTGAGGAGTGGATCAATAGTCAGTGTAGAGCTGGGCGACAAATCGATTCCGGAACCGATTCCAGCGGTTAATGCTACAGATGTTTTAGTTTAAGTTTAGTAGAGGTTTTACGCCGCTTGCAACTGTATGAGGTTGAGACTTTGTGCTGTCGAAGCTAGAGAGGTGAGCAGAGTAATCCTGATTCCCTGTTAGGACTTCTCTGTTGACATCCAACCCTTGGCGCTCATATGACCTTATGCAGTTGCGAGAGCCGTAAAACCTCTACTAAAACAAAACAATTGCACAAGGTCATATGAGCGCCTAGAGATCAACAGAGAAGTCAAAACGGGGAATCAGGCTTACTCTGCTCACCACTCTAGCCTCAACAGCACAAAGTCTGCTTCGACTATCAAGGCACCTCAGAAATAGCAGTTCACAAGAGAGTGACAAACACACAAAAGAAGTAGAGGCAAAATGACGATAGTAAGTGTGAGGAAAGAAAAAGTAGCAGTTCCCCCTATGTTGTTCCGGCACAATACGAGCATAACATTGATAAACCCCCTGTAGTCTTCATTGAGTTCGGACTCGATTCCTACGATTCCTAGTCTTCACTAATCGGGAAC